TGTGTCCCCAACACCTGTCCCCACATCCCCATCCCCATGGGTGTCCCTACATGTCCCCATACATGTCCTCACGTGTCCCCACATCTCTGTCTCCATCTGTGTCCCCCCACTTGTCCCCACGTCCCTGTCCCCATGTGTCCCCACACATCCCCATGTCCCTGTCCCCATATATGACCCCAGACCTGTCCCCACATCCCCATTTGTGTCCCCACCCACACGTGTCCCCGTGTCCCTGTCCCCATACATCCCTATGTCCCCGTCCCCAAACATGTCCCCAGACATATCCCCACATCCCTGTCCCCAGGTGTGTCCCCACACGTGTCCCTGCATGTCCCTATGAGTGTCCCCATGCGCCCATCCCCATGTATGTCCCCACACATGCCCCATGTGTTCCCACGTCTCCGTCCCCATGTGTCCCCACACCTGTCACCATGTGTGTCCCCACACATCCACATGTCCCCATCCCCACGTGACACCAGACAAGTCCCCAGACACATCCCCGCATGTCCCCACGTCCCTGTCCCTATGTCCCCACATCCCCCCACGTGTGTCCCCATGTCCCTGTCCCCACACGTCCCCACCCATGTCCCCATCCCCACCCATGTCCCCATGTCCCCATCCCCACACGTGTCCCCACACGTGTCCCCATGTCCCCTGACACACACGTCCCCAGCCCCACAGGTCCGGCCATCGCTGTATTCTGGGTGACAGGCGGGTGGCCGGGGTGTCCCCGCGCTGGGGACAGGGGACACTAGGTGGGGATGACGCCGGTGGCCAGGAGGATGATGATGACGAGGATGATGGCGCCCACGAGGCCGAGGACCACGAGCAGCTTCACATTGCGCCACCAGAACCGGCGGGCCACCTTCTGTGACGTCGTCCGAAACTGCTCCGACTGTGGGGACACACGCAGTGACACCCTGGGGACACCCGCTGCCACCCCGGGGACACCTCCTGCCACCCACGGACACTTGCTGTGACCCTGGGGACACTAACAGCCACCCTTGGGGACACACCCTGCCGCTCTGGGGACACCACTGCCACCCTTGGGGACACTTTTTTTTTTTCCCCCCATTGCCACCCCAGGAACACCCACTGTGACCCCAGGGACGCCCCCTGCCACCCTGGGGACACTAACTGCCCCCTTGGGGACACTAAGTGCCACTCTGGGGACACCACTGCCACCCTTGGGGACACTTGTGACACCCTGGGGACACCCATTGCAACCCCAGGGACACCCACTGTCACCCTGGGGACACACAGCTGCCACCTTTGGGGACAGCCCTGCCACCCCAGGGACACCCTGGGGACCCCAGGGGACCTGGTGACACCAATCCTGGGGGGATGCTGTGCCCACCCTGGGGACACTGTGC